CGTGCCGATCGCCCTTCATCTTCATTGATTGCGATCCATTTTTGTTAGTCGTTGTTGATAGCCGGTCTACCAGGGGCGTGCGGTCCATGGAAGCGGGGGAAGCACCGCTTCCCTAAACTTTTGAGTTTAGGGAGATAAAAAAATTACTATTTATTAATTTATAATGTATAGCAATTAACAATAATTTAGTAATTATTTTCTCTGAAACATGACGTAAATGTATTAAAAGCTCATTGCGAAAACGTAAACGCAACCAATATTTGTCGCAACGCGTCGAGCCCGGCCGGCCCAAGCTTGGAAGCGCGTCTGGAAATCGCTGCTGTTCGCTTTGAAGAGGACGAAGGGGTTATTGACCCTTTGGCTCCATACGCGACGCCGGCCGGAAGGCGAAAACGTGCGAATTAAGTAGCCAAGGCAGCGCTCGTTCGGCCGCCTTCCACTTATTTTATCTCGATTTGCATTGAAAATCCGATGCCGCTAATTGGTGCCATTTAGCGACCATGGCACACAATCGTAGTGCTGTGTTTTTTATTGAATTTTCTGAGGTTTTTCGTGGTTGTTTTTTTTTTTTTGCAATGCAGGAATAAAGGATTTTCTAGTCGAAACTTTGAAGAGAAAAGGGAGATTATTAATTCGGGTAGGCTAATGGATCCTATTAATTTAGAAACGAAAGTAGAGAAGTCGGCAAAGAAATTCACGAAGCATTTTCACGTGAGATTTTATGAGAAATATGAATGGTTTACCGGTTGCAAAATTACAATTGTACCTATATGCATGGTTCTAGAAAAATGATTGACCTTGAAATTTTCAAAAATTTTCGCCTGCGGCGCATTAAAGGGGGGGTACCCACTGTGACCTCTCTTCGCCGCTTCCGTATTTCTAAAGACCACCGCACGCCACTGCGGTCTACAATGTGCCCGTGAGTGCGTAGTGCTTGCTTGCATGCTGTGACTTGTGAATCGTGAATTTTTAGCTGCCCCTGTTAATAGCAGACTAATGAATCCACTAAGTGGAACATTATTGGTTGTTTAGAATTAGGAATAGGTATTTATTATTATATTAAATTAACAAAAATATTTTTAAAGTGTAGATTACGGTCGTTTATCCCGGTTGCCAAATTTTCAAAATGATCCGCTTTTTAGTTCTCCATAAACGTCTAATACGCCATCCACCGTGGGACACCCTGTATTTTGTATACGTTTATATTTGGTACATAATTATGGTGCATATCGACTTATATCAGGCGGACATTTTAACTTATTATAGCAGGCAATAGTAAACCATAATAGCTATTTATGTACCAAGGGGATTATGTAGATTATAATGCCCGAAGGCGAAACTAGCCCGAGGGCCTATGGCCCGAGGGATATATTTCGCCTGAAGGGCATTATAATCTTATAATCCCCGTGGTGCATACAATGCTTTATTTTCTACTCAACACAATGTTTTTTCATCAATTTATTATTAACAAAATCAGTTAAACTTGTGTGACAGAATATTGTTTTGTATTTTGACATGTACCTGTACCTGTACCTGCGACCTGTACATAGAAACGAAATAAATTAATATATCTATAAACATCTCATAAGGCAAGGCAACGGTGGTGGTCCTGTGGGTTAACGCGCTGGACTACATGGGAAACGTTGATGGTAGACCGGGTTCGAATCCTGGCTAGACCGAAAATTATTTTCGGTCAGACATTTAGTGGCTGCCTAGGGTAAAGTGCAAATTAATAGAACAACAACAACAAAAACACCTTAAGGTATTATAAGCGGGCGTTATAGATCATAACGCCCGCAAAAGCGGGCGTTATGGTTCAGGTTGTTATAGGTGTGTTAACGTATTTCGTTTCCTAGGTATTATGGATCTTTAATAGTAAAGTAGAAAATAAATATACTTGTGGTATAAACAAAAATTATACGTATATTAAACAATTTTGTGTTGCTTGGGTAGGTATAGGGTATATCACATGAAATCTGCTCAGAATTTTACGTAGAATCAAAATATGTAATCACATACAGGGTATTCCATTTAAAATAGCGTTGTTGCCACTGGTTTAGAGTAGAAGCGGCAACACCGCATAAACAAAAATATTTTTAAAGTGTAGATCATGGCTGTTTACCCCGGTTGCCAAATTTTCAAAATGATCCGCTTTTTAGTTCTCCATAAACGTCTAATACGCCATCCACCGTGGGACACCCTGTATACACCTAAATTTTTAAAAGAAAACCGGAAGGTTAGGATAGGCATCACTCCTTTCCTTAACCTTAAGTAGATCATTCGATATAAGCTCTTTTAAAATAAATAGAGACTTTCTTTCCAAAGAAGGATTGTATCATCGGCGAACAATGTGAATGATCATATGGCGTTTCCGATTGGTAGATTCAGTGCGCACTGAGTGTATTTGCATCCTTTCAATCGACCTGTAGTAGAAAAAGACGGAAATAGAAAAAATTGCACTAGTTCTGCACTAGATCTACCAATCGGAAACGCCAATAGAATAAGGTTTAAGTGGGGATATAGAATGGTAACTCCCATGTTAAAAAAAAAGTTTACATATGTGGCGCCTCTATAGGCTTGGGTCAAAGTAAAATTATTTTGGCGGGATATTTGAATTTGAAACTTTTTAGGCCTTAATCAGATTTAACATTAGGTACCTAGTTATTATATTTATCCCTCATTATTAGAAATGAATATAATATGTAATAACCAACGCCAAAAACGTTTTTTGGATAAAATAAAACTCGTGTCTGTCAATCGTTGGACTTATAATATTTTTATTCAGGTACATATATAAATGATAATTGAACTTTTTCTGTTTGTCTTCACATCACTTTCATCACCAATGGGATTGACGCCATGATAAAGATAAAACTTACCTGAAGTAAAACTGAGTATAGAAGTAAAAACACTACAACTAATGAAAATGATTCATAAAAAGTTTGACAAACTAAAAATTGTTTGATAACCGACCGACCAGTATGACAGCTGATAGCGTCAATATCCAAAGGCGTTCACTAAAATCGCGTACCAGCGATGAACATGCGCGCCTCCTGAGCGGCTTGGGGCACATTGAAAGTGGCCAGGATCGTTCAATACAAGTGCGCGTACCATGTGAATGATCCAGGAGATGTCAGTGTTGATAACATCGCATTGACATAAAACCTGAATCAAGACAAGATGGGCCCTATGACCGAACCCTGTCCTGTGGAACACCCTGATTTATTAGGCCGGCATACACACACGTTATTTCGCGCGGTTTATCATGGCGTGTTGGGATGTAGCGGTTTGCACGCGCGAAAGAACGGCGTGGCAAAAAAAGTGTCATGTTCCATACACTTGAAAAACTATTCAAATGATTTAGCACGTGATTACGCGCGGCATATCAGTTGGAAAGGAAAAACCGTATGTGTATGGGTAAAAAGTGTCATTTATCGTGCCGTTTGGAAGTGCATGTTGTCATGTACTAATTTTCAACGTGATAGTTTGCTACGCGGCGTTTATGTCTCCGTACTAGCCTCAAAACCGTGACGTGGAATGTGGTTGTGAACTGCACTATCATGTACTTGAGTACTGAGACGTCACATTCCAGATGAAAGCACGTCTGAAATCCCTTCCCATTCTATCATTGCGTGTAGCCCTCCTCACTCACGCACCTGATTTTTCACAGGTTTTTGCAGATGAGACGATAAACCGCGCGAAAGAACGTGTGTCTATGCTGGCCTATTGAAGCAATATCAGTTTCGACCTGCTGATATGTTGTTCTTTGGCTTCTTTCTGAGAGGTAGGATTCCAATTACATTTTTATACATTTAGATAAGGAGCGAGAATACATTTTTCTCTGACCTCGGAGTCCAGTAGAGCTCTTTCGTCTCGTATCGAGGGTCTTTTTATTGAGACGAGAGACTCATTTTAATTCGAACCTACGAGACAGAGCGTATTCTCCAATTCGTCTGGTCTTCGCATGCACGAGAAGACAAATTAACAACAGAGTAAAATCTGTTTTTTTTTTTAAAGATAAAAGTCAAAATGACATTATGTTGGCAATACAATGTAAAATTTACAATGTAAAATTGTCAATGCTTTAAAATTTGTATGTAGAAAAAGCTTGTGTTGCCAACATCGTTACTAAATTTTTGACTTGGGGAATTATCTTTAAAAAAAAAACAAACTTTAGTATGACTGACGTAGTTGACGTACTGACTCTACTGACGTGAATATAGTCACAAGTCTCAACATTTGGCACACAGTTTATTTTAATAATTAGAGCTCAGCACAAAAATTCTACTCCACTTTTTGTAAGTATTGGCTCAATATAACATATAGGTAGGTAGATAATTTAAAAAAATACCTATATTTATCTATACCTATATAGGTATAGGTACTATCATTGTTTGGGTATTTAAAAGACCAAAAAAGGCGGAAGTTATAGGTTCTTACTTCTTAGAGATATCGTAATTCCTTCGGCAAGTCAAAAAACGGTTAAACACGAAAAAAGCACAAAGCTTTTTGTCGAGATTTCTATATGTATAATGGTCTACCTAAATTTCCCCCGCGTACCCAGGAATTCGTCACGAGCAATCTATTATAGTTTGGAGAAACCATCAGGAACTTCTCTCAACAAAAAGCTCTGCGTGCTTTCAAACTCTCACAAATATAATTATCAAGCACCTATCATCAAAGTATGAAATGTTGACACGGCAAAACCTCTTTCGCCCAGAAAGCAGAAGTGCCAATTAATTACCAAAGCCTCGCCAAAACAAATAAAAAGCACAAGCCTACCAAGCGTTCCCTCCTGCGTGCTTTAACAGCACATTAAGCCAGGTTTAAACCGAAAGCTTATCGGCCAACCAGCTTGCTTCGTCGCCTCTTCTTTCGCCTCATTGGCCCGCTACATCCATTTTAACATCGCCGGGGCGTTTACTCCGTGAAACCAATCTCTCGAAATATTAATATTCCATGAGAAAACCGTGAAGTTCTACTCAAATAGTCACCACAAGGCTTAAGCCGTGAAGCGAGCGCACGAGCCGCAAAATTGAGGCGCTTTGAGGGGTCCATTTAACAAAAAAAAAAGCGATATGCGAAACGTTTCCGGGTGGCTGCGGTTTTAAGCATGTGTTGATTTTATCTGGCCAAACGCATCGATTCGCTTGGAAAAGTGTAAAATTGCTTTATATGCTTAGTGTGAAGTGCGCGACACGGGCTCTAAGTTTTGATAGGTGGAAATATTGACTTGTTGATGTTTTATTTGGATAGTTTTTCTGATCTATATTGACCTCGAAGTTTAACAATTATCTAATTGACATCGGGTTTTGGAGTTTTTCTGGAAGTGATCCAGATTTTATTTGAATGAACAATATGGATAGTGGTAAGTGGACTCAATTACTTAGGCTTGAACCGTCGCATAGATCCTACCTATCTAATAATTTTAATATATTTATTCAAGTTAAAAGAAAAACTTTATTTGCTCAAAGTATACTCAGGTACATACACATACACTCATATACATTACACACAAAGTAAAAAGTTCAAGCGAAAAGAAACGAATCAAGAAAGGAGACACTAATTGATAATATAGAAACGGAATAACATCAATAAAAATAACACTGAAAGTTTGAAAGCGCACAATAAACAAGCACCATGAAGGGAAAAATGAAAATATCATAATAACAATTGAAATGATGAGCAACGATATAGTAGTACCTACCTATATCTAATCACCTAGGTACTTTAGTTGAATAATAAAAAAAAAATAACATGAGTAAAGCTTTCTTCAAACTAATTTAAAGCTAGATAAAGGGATTGTCCCTAAGAGAAAGAAAATTCAAGCTAAAGCTCTTAAATATTTAGTGACGTTTCGGAAACTAAGTAAAGTTTGTTTCACCAGGGTTTGTACTTGCCACCAGCATTTGTCTTCCTTGTTTAACAAATAAAAATTGACTGAAACAAATCAATGACGTCAAAAACGTTCGTCGGTTCCTAAACAAGACGTCATTCATTTTAATTTGTCAAAAAAATTTAATGTGTCATATGAATTAATCTACGACAACCCTTTTTTGTCAAGTTTCAAGGTCAAGTATGAACCCTGGTGAAACGAACTTTAGGTATTTCTTATTATCAATACCTTCCTTAGGGCTATACAAACTAGAACTAATATACCTAGGTTAGGTACTTACGCAATATTCCCTGTTTATCTTGTTTCTTATCCAGAGGAAAATTGTAAATAACAAAATAGGTATGTCATATCAAAACGTCGGCCAAATATTTCTATCAGATCTTTCTCCCTCTATTACAGAACATGTGGCATCAAGTAGGTATTATTTAGATAAGTACCTATACTAAAGACCATCATTAAGTAATCTACATTAAGAAATTCTGAATATATATACTTACCTATACTTACTCAATTAGGCCCGGTTTATTCATCTTCAGACAAACTGGTTGGTAACTATCTGCATCAGAATAAATTTACCGTTCTATAATTCTGTTGGTCAGCGGATAACTGGTCGATCAATCGGATGACAGATTGCGATTTCATCCGTCAGATTGCATACCTGACATTTTATCAGAGGGTGAATAAACCGGCACTAATAGTCTCTTTGGGTATATCCTTTCCTATATAAATTAATTATTTTATGTTTTGGATATAATAAGCGGGAAGGAATCAATTGGAAAGTGAATCTTGTCTCTATAAATACAATGATTTTTTCAAATTAAATTAAAACAGATATCGATTCTAGCAAAGAAATGTCATTCTTTATTCTTTACTCAAATTTCTCCTTTCTCTGGGCCAGCCTAAGCAAAATATTCCCATCAATTATTGAGGTTGTTGATAGAAATTTCCCCCCAAGGTTTACAGCTTTTGTAGATTTTTCTTCAAGGGATATAGCATAATAGTTCACCCCTATCAATTAGATTTCAACAATAATTCTATTTCATGGAATGTTCTTCAAAGCGTTCTAAAATGTTTTCCAAAAGTTCTGAAATACAGGCAGTGCCGTATTTCCCTAATATACGCACAGGCGTAGGGCGGCAAATCTGGGGAGGCGGCAAAATTTTAAAAAGAGAATCAGAAAAAGACAAAAAATAATCGGGAAAAGAAAGCCGAAGATCCAACGCGCAACGCGGTTCTGTTTCGCGTTGGATCTTTATTTGATTTTTGATAAACTCGAACAATATTATAACAAACACAAAAAATAACAAAGCACAAAGAACAGATACCTCCCAAAAAAATTATAGAGCCTGTAAACGCCGGTTTTAAAAATGAAAAGTGCATGTGAGAAAAATGATTTGAACAAAAAAACACACAGATCAAAATAATGTATACCAAGTTTAGGTAATAAAATATAGGTAGTACAGAAAAAAAATGATAAAAGGCTCAAAATAAACGTTTTTAGGCGTGGCATGTGGTACCCAAAATGATTTTCGTTTAATCCTGGCGTCACTGTTAAGTTTGCCCCGTCCGCCTCCAAAAGCATGGCTATGCGTACGCCACTGTCCCTGTCCTAGTCCTGTATCTTCTTGGTCCCCCCATTTTTTGAGGCACGCGCCGCTCGTGCATGAGGGCGGCCTTTCTAAATAGGCCAGGGGCGTAGCCACGGGGGAGGTTTTAGGGGTTTAAACCCCCCCCACTTGATCAGAAAATATAATTAAAAACCACGAAACACGAAACCTATGTTTTAGCATATACTTTTTCACCCTAAAAATTTTATTCTTTTCATATAAAGCATTGACCTTGAAATTCTACAAAATTTTCGCCTGCAGCGCAATTTTTTTTCTGACATCCCTATGCTCATGCAATGTTTCTTAATTTCCATAGTGAAACCCCCACCCCATCTGAATTTTCTGGCTACGCACCTAAAACAGGCGTAGGGCGGCAAATTGGTAAATCCGGCACTGAATACAGGGTATCCCGAAACGTTTTACCCAGGTGATACTTCGGAACGCGACATCCAATATAATTGAAATTTTGAGGATTTGGGCAAAGTTTATCTGCGGGTACCTACCTAACTTTTTGTACCGCTTCTGTGTTATCCAATTTCACCACTTTCGCTTCAGTATCGGTCAAGTGACGGCAACTTTAGATTCTTAAATGTTTATTGGTACCTATATACAGGGTGTCCCACGAGGTTTTTCCCAAATGATAACTTCGGAACGCATCATCGTATGTTCCAATGTATAATTTTCATTCATTTCCTTTTTTAATTTAATTTTCTAACGAAAAATGCCATAATATAGTATACCATGAGTTACCTTTAAGATTCGAAAGTTGACGTTACTTGACCGAAATTGGAGCGAAAGTGGTGAAATTGGATGACAATGGTAGAAGCGGCATAAAAAGTTACCCAGATCCTCAAAATTTCAATTATATTGGATGACGTGTTATTTACCTAATTAAAAAATTAAATTACAAAATCGCCAATGCCATATTTGTTAAGAAAATGATAAAAGTGGAAAAATTTTAACCTGATCTAAAATATGCTATAGAAAACTTTAAAATTGCGGTCAGAACTGTCAGGAGTGTTTCAAATTTAAATCGTTTTTTATTTTCTTTTCATGCAATGATCTACTGGAGTCTTCCTAATTGTTTCTATAATGTCAGAATCGGTTTAGAATATAGAACAATGCTTGAGATGCTATGCAAACATTCGAATTGTTTCAAATTGATTTTCTGGATCATGTTCTAAAGTGTTCTTGGTACGTCAAAATGGATTCTGGATCGGGATCGGCTATCACATTGAACATTCAACTGACGCTGAAGTTAGTGTTCTAAAATCAGTTGAAGTTTTCAATTAAAAGAGATGGACGATATAGTATGAAAACATCCATATTCCCGCCAACATTTGCTTGCCTGTCAATGTCAATGTGTATTGGATGTTTAGCACCGATGAGTTACGTAAAATCTTTGTTTAGTGAATAGAAAATGACAATGAATGACATAGAATGGTGAAATTTAAAATTGGGAAGAAAATGTGGGAAGCAAACAGCTTCCGCAAACCAATCTTGAACGTGGATTACTTTGTATACTTGATGAGCCGTAGATTTCCCTTTCTTTTGCGAGTATCCTTTCTGATTTTGTGTATCCAAATTTTGACAAATGTAGGATTTGATGAAAATTTATGGAAAGACACGTCCGCTGGTGAATAGGAATTATTTTCACGAAAAGCCACACTACACACAAACACCATTGTTAGGAAAAGGCCTTGAAAAAACTGAGGAAATATTATAGTTTCTATAGTCTCCACACGTATAAAAGTCTTGTCAAGAAACTACTGTCAACGGCTGTCAATCATTGTTTTCATGCCATGCTCTTTTGGCGTCTGACAGTTTGACGCCAGAGAGACAGGCTTCTAAATTGAAAAGGTCAGTTCCACAGGGATCATGAAATCTCCAAATCATTAAAAGTAAACAAACGTCCGTTATGGATCTGGGAGTGCTCTAAAATATTTCCGAAATTTCCGAAGAATTTTCAAGTTTCATTGTGTCTGGATCACTTCTGGAGTGGAGCTTTTTAAAATGCACCTGTTATAGTTTTTAGATGGTGCTGGTCTAGCTCTAGAACGCTTAATAAGCTTCTAGGTTGGTTAAAAACTAACAGTAGGTATCTGTGTTAAGGAGAATTCTTAAGGATTCTAGAAGAATCTAAAATGGATTTGAAAGTTCCAAAGTGCTCTAGGAAGTCATACTATTCTTTTTTCTTTTTTCTCAGACATAAAATAAAATAAAACTTTAGTTCTAATTTTCTACATTCCAGAAAACTCAAAAGGTAGCGCATATATATTGAAAATTGCTTGTATAACTAAATAAAACGGTCAGGACCGATTTTTGTATATTGAGAGGTGCTCCAGGTATGGCCGCTCCAACCTCCAACTATGAAATCTAAACTTCCTTCAAGGGGTTGAAATGAGAGTCTCACTTATCTATTGATCAACTCCTGCATAACCGATGACTAGAATTTTCCACGAATGTAAGTAATTTTTTTTTGGGTTTGCCTTACTTACGGTCTCGCGGCTCCGACTTACACGGGTGCAAGTAGGCCTGGTGTTCCGTTCAGCGTTCTACTCCCCACCAACTCCAAGGTTAGTAGAAACAGTGTTCCGCATCTTGTGCTCTGAGTAGACGTAATGATCTCAGGAAGACTGCTATCTGCATCGTGCCAGCATTATTATTATTATTATTATTATGGATATCACTGGTAGGCGGATGGATAACCGATGAGACCACCGAGTCTTTTAGTTTTCCACATATAAACACCATACTGCACAAACGTATTTTGCCAGCCCCTCATTTCTGGATCCAAATGGTTTTTAAATTAATTTACTGATGTTACACTAATTGTTTCATGACTAAATCTATTCAATAAGGTCT